GGCAACGAAGCTGGTGAAGGGTCTGGAGCACAAGTCTGATGCGGAGTGGCTGAGGGACCTGGGGCTGTTGAGCCTGGAGAAGAGGAGGCTGAGGGGAGACCTGATGGCTCTCTGCAACTACCTGACAGGAGGTGGTGGCCAGGTGGGGGTCGGTCTCTTCTCCCAAGTAACTAGCAAAAGGACAAGAGGAAATGGCCTCAGGTTGTGCCAGGGGAGGTTCAGATTGGATATCAGGAGAAATGTCTTCACTGAAAGGGTTATGAAGCATTTAGAACAGGCTGCCCAGGGAAGTGGTGGAGTCCCCATCCCTGGAAGTATTTAAAAGCCGTGTAGATGTGGTGCTTGGGGACATGGTTTAGTGGTGGGCTTGGCAGTTTTGGGTTGACGGTTGGACTCGATGATCTTAAAGGTCTTTTCCAACCTAAACAACTCTATAATTCTATATTTTAGGAGCACAATAAGTAACTGGGACATGAAGTGTTGCAAGGATTCTGTAAGATTTTTGTCCAGCTCTGCTACTTCAATGGGCTGTTTCAGTCTCGAGTTTTTAACGACAGATTAACCGCCCCACTCTGTACAATTATGGGATGTGCTGAAGCTGAGAACACAAGTCAAGCTTAGGAAAGAGCAATAGGACTAAAATTGCCGAGGTATCCACACTGCTTCATCAGGATCAATGCAAAAAAAAAAAACCAAACCCCAACCACCCCACAACCTTTTCAACTAGTACAGAACAGGGATAAATATCGCTCTCTGATGCCATGAAGATGCTAGTTGTGTTAATGAAGACAATGATGCTATGAAGATGAAGATACTAGTTTTATTTTTAGGAAGAAAGTGCCTTAACTTCAAGTGGAAATGTCCAAGAGAGAAGTCTGACAAACAAAAAACCAGCATAAGGCACTACATGAGATCAGTAAGGATCATCCTTTTCCCCCCTAAAATGCAAACAAAAGGAAAAAACTAGCTCAGTCTGTAGGCTGCAGAGGTTAAAGAGCCAGTTCTGCATCCTCTGTTCGGAAATAAATGATGCTTTTATTTGGGAATATGTCATGTCTGGTGAGCAGCTCTTTTAAAGGACTGCATAACGAAATGGTTGCTGAAAGAGCTTCTTTAGCTGGCAGTGCTGAGATGTTCGACTCACAGGTGCCCATATCACAACACTGCCTATAGCCAGACTTCTCCTGCCGCAGCACTGGCAGAGGGCATGCTCCATTTCCCAGAGATTTAAAAGCCTTGAAGGACACTGATGAGGATGGGAGGTGAACATACATTTGGATTATGTTTCAAAGACTTTGCTAACTTGCCAAAAAACTTTCTGAGTTTCAAGCGATGACTCACGTACATACTCACATTACGGGCAGCTTTGAGTCGTTACTTCTGCACTGTTACTCGGAGAAGCCCTTCATGTACAAAGCAATGGTAGAAATGCTCTACAAAATGCTGCAGCAGCCCTCAAAGCTTTCAGAAATGAAGAAGCGTATGGTGAAGTCATGGACAGGTGTCCTTCTTGTCATACAGCCATGGAAACACCCTTCCCTAGTGCCAGCAAAGACACTATACCTACTATCTCAACATCTCTGGCAGGCTAAAGAGGCTCACAGATGTTCCACAGCTGTTCCACAGATGTTTTCCACAGGGAAAAATTCTGTCCACTTGGGCTAGCAAAAACGTTTGGTCTTGGGACACTTCTTGGGAATGGGTTCCTCCAAGAAACAGTATAAACTGACAAATTCCTTTTGGGAACTGAAATAAAAATGCTTCAATACCACCGTATCTCTGAAGGAGCAGAGAAACTCAATGGCTGAGAGCCAAATCAGAGAGGGATCTTCAGACAGAAAGTCTTTGGAAAAACTCTGGAGTCAGGAGATCATCTCTTCTGAACAGGGGATGCTGTCAATACAGACCATGTGCCTACTGCATGTAACAGTCCCTTCTAGGACATCCGGAATCAGCAGAGACTGAAAGCAAGCACTACCTGAAATCAGCATGGCAAAACCCAGGGCAGGATAACTTGTTCACAAGTGCCTCAATTCACGTAAAGTAAACTGAGTATTATATTTTGCAAACCTAAACTTACAACAAAATTAAGAAGCAAGTACCCTTCTCTCAGATCATCCAGGAGCTTGACATATAACCTCCTCTTGTTCAGAAGGCCTCGCCAAGAACATGCAGGGATGCTCACAATCCCAGACCTGATACATCCTGTGAATCCTCCAGGAAAAAGGATGACAGTGTATCAAACAATGTTGGTTAGCTGACCCCAAAACAACTTCCCAATACACAGTAGAAACTAAGACAGGGTCAGTTGATGTTGAAGATACACAAGGCTCATCAGAGAGCTGCCAAGAGAGCTGCTGTGGCTTAATGCAGATTGCAGGAGTCTTGGGCTCTTTGGTACATCAGATAAATGTTTTTCATCGTGTAACAGGAAAAAGAGATACAACCCAGAAGTGTCTGATCACAGGATGACTTCCAGAGGGAAGAATAATAAGGTGATGTACATCTGCTTCCTGTTCCCTCACAGTAGCTGGGGCACTCTAACATCAGCCCCAACACAGCAGCACCACGTAAAGGAAGCTGAGAAGGACCATGAGGAATGCGTTGTCCCTTGGGATAAGGAAAATGACTACAGCAGTCACAAAGGTTATGCTGCCCAAACTGGAACACAGGAAGTTCCATCTCAATATGAGGAAAAACTTCTTCCCTCTGAGGGTGACTGAGCACTGGGACAGGCTGCCCAGAGAGGTTGTGGAGTCTCCTTCTCTGGAGAGATTCCAAACCCACCTGGACACCATCCTGTGCAACCTGCTCTGGGTGATCCTGCTTTAACAGTGGGGTTGGACTAGATGGTCTCCAGAGGTCCCTTCCAACCCCAACCAGTCTGTGATTCTGTGACATCAACTGAGAATGTGTTCCTATGTGAGATAATAAAGGCATCTTGTATGCCCATCAGGAGATAAAAACTGATTCTTGCAGTTTTTGCTAGGGCAAAGAGTCAACTTCTGGAGAAGTCACTGACTTGGATTAGTAAACCAGAACTATTTTGTAATACACCTGGAAAATCCCACAGCTCAGAATATTACATCTCTGTGAAAGGAACCAAAATTATGCCAGGCATGCTTTGCCCAGATACCCCCTCATCAGGCATAAAAACCAGTGAGAAGAGAGCTTAGCCTCTCCCAGATACCACCAGAGTGAAAAAGTTCTCCATCCTTGCCCACCTGCAATAGGAATACACATGTAGAAGAGCCACCTGAATAAGGACAGCCCTGTTTTATAACAGATTGTCCTAACGTGCCAGTCCTCGGCAGCTTCACAGAAGAGAAAGCACAGACTCGGCTTTTAAGAGCACTGTAAGTCAGCCAAGGAATCAGCTGAGGATGTCTGGATCTGTTTGTGATCTTTGCACTCTGCATCCTTCTTCCTTTTCCAGTTTTCTTTCTTCTGTGTAAAGCGATGTTCAGCAGAACACCACCTTTACATAACAGGGTGCAGCGTATGAGCTGGGCATAGAGAGGAGGATGCAGCAAAGGGATATATGACCAACAAAGCAGAAAGGTGATGTAGAACAGCAGCACTCTTTGCAGTGTGATGACAGTTCCCAGATACCTTAAGTGCCTCCAGGAAAACATTTAAGTCACCTAGAGTAACTGAAATTAGACATTTTTTTCCCTATATTAAATTTGTTAACTTAAGACTTCTGTTCCAACTTCTCTCAAGCACACACACTCACCAACTTCAGGTTCTTCTCAAGAATGTGCCATGTTGGCTCCATCACTTCAAACATCATGTAATACTGGATATTCTGGACAAAATTCAGCATCCGCTGCCGCAGTGTGAAAGCACCAGCAAACCTAGGGGAGAAATCACACCCACACAACTTAGAGCTAGCAAATGCCATGGAGAACTATCATCAGGCTTGCACAGTCAAGCAGAGCTAAATATTTCTGTCCTAGCAAATTCACTGCTGCAGTGTGAGAGGGATGCAAAGTTAATGCAAACCATCTGTGATTATTTTCCACATATTCAAGCGGCTTTCCCTCAACTACTAGTGTCAGAGTTTTGAACCTGATGTGGACTGGAGAATTACTTTGAATATTTGCTTATATTCAACTAAAATTTTAATATTAAATATTAAAGCAATTTTACTAGTGTAACTATCTAGTGAGACATGCATTCATTAGCAGGACAAAATTTAACAAGATAAATGGTTCACATATCTTTCCAGCCTTACTTGTTAAATGAACACTTAAAAACGTTCGATGCCTTGCATCAGTATGTTCAGGGGATCCAAATATTTAATGAAATCACTTAGGGTATTTAATGCAATTTCACCTTAAAAATAGAATGGCGGGATTATATAGAGGTTCTTTCAATGTCAATTTATGCAGACTTTGTGATGGCAAACTGATTTCAGCAAACCAGGACAGGTCACTGGAGAGGTGGGGGATACCCACCCTAGGGGTTTTCAACCATGGCTGCCCTGTGCCCTGCTGATCAGTCATCCTGTGAGCTGGAGGTTGGATCACAGATCCTCGCAGGTGTCTTCTGCTAACACCTCTACAATTACAGGAGAACCAGAGCTACAGTCACCAAGGCAGCCGAGGTTACCTGTCACAAGAAGGTGCCACTGGCAAGGCAGAAGGTACTACCTCGCAATGCTGGGGTCTGCCTCACTCTCCAAACAGGCACTTCCAGCACCTGGAGTGCAGATCCAAAGATGAAAATCTACCCTCACAGATGGAACAAGATAGAATTATTTCCTGGGGAAAAACCCACCAATTTTACCTTATTCAATTTGTGTCACACCAAAACCCCAAACAGCAGCCAAGCCGTGTGAAGGTCATGGAGTCCTGGCTAGTGATCTGGCCAGAAGAGAAGGATGTTGCTTTTAAACTACTGAGGATGTTGCTTTTAAACTACCTTACTAATCTCGCTGATGCTAAAGTAGTGACCAAGACAGTATGTGCACAGATGTCCTCTGCTCTAACTGTTAGTGTTAACTGAGCTAACCCTAAAGACCATCTCTTTGTTTTCAAAACTTCATGCCAACAAAGAGGAATGAGTCGAGCAGCACAAAGATCACTGAGCAGACAGTTCCTACTGAAACCTAAATTGTTATATTTTGATCTCTCTCAGCCTGTAGGAAATTTGTAAGGATCTTTTTCACGTCAAAATTATCTGATCCGTGTCATGACATATCTAACTAGCAAGCAGGAAAACCAAAACTTCACATGTGATCCAGCAGAAAAAAAGGCCATACCACTTAGCTGAATGCAGGGAGAATTGCTTGGCCGTCTTATTGCTGATCCAAACATTGCACAACTGTCTTTCCACATGTTTGCAATAGAACATGTGTCTGAAAAGCATCTGGTATCTTGTCAATGCTTTCCTGGAAAGAAAAGGAGAAACCCATCCAGATTAAGCCCTGTTCTGATTGACAGACTAAGCTGTGAAGGCTGAGGCTGCTCAAAGGCAAAGAGACTTTACACAATATGTTCCTTACGCCTTCAGACGCACACAGATCTGCACTGAAACAATTTGAACCAAAGGGAAAAAAAAAAATCACATTTGTAACCATCCCAAAGAATTTCTCTCCTAGGAGTCCCTCCTCTGTATTTCCTGCCAGTGGGTACATCACCAGCCTCCTCCTTCAGTTCTCTCGAGCTACCTGCAGAAAGGTCGCTCCCACAGATACCGGGACAGAGGGCTGAAAGCCTGCGGTCATGTACCCACTGCACTAAGACTGCTATGATCACCACAACAATTCACCAAGATTCTCCAAGAAGATGAAGAAAAAGCTGTAACCAAGCTACAGGCAGCATTACCCTGCCAGCGACACACTGTCAGAAGCAGATGGGGATGCTTATTTATAGCTTCAGGGACTGGATTCAGGTCTGCATTCAGACACTTCAGTGTAGGTGTCTACAGAGCTCCAGTCGATACAGTTCATGAAACCTTACCAAGTAGTATTTTCACTTCCATAGCTATCATCAGAGCTAATACATTCAATATGAAACAAAGAGACATAATTTCTAAAGCATCACATCATTAGAAGAGTCCCACTGTGTCAACTGATTTTTTTTTAAAGGGGAAATTAAGGGACAAACTAATTGTTGGCATTTAACAATTCAACATCTGTCGCCCTGTTCGTGTAACGCTGCTTGTCCCATTTGCCCTGGCTCACAGCTGGGGGCCTGTCAGTGTTTCTCCAGGGAAACTGGGGGCAAATCCCTGCAGAAAAAGGAACCATTCAGTCCCTCAAAACTCAATTAAATGCAAAATAGCTTGCTATCACAATTATAGCAACAGCCTGTATCCTTCTAGTTTGCAACCAGGGATACCAGAAAGTGCATTATTTTTTCTGCTCTCCACATTTGCGATTCTTGCATGGAAACCCTCTTGTGAGAATTGATATTCTCAGGTGAGATATTTCAGAAAACCATGGAAAACTGGGTGAGCAGTCACAAGGAAAACCAGGGACCAGGCTGAGAAAGGATCCTTTGATCTATGTATTCCCACCATTTGAAAGGAAAGTTTGACTTTCCAAGCATGCCTTACACATGGTGTAGTAGGGCTTTACTGAAGAGAGAATCCATATTCCATAGCCTAGAAGCGGAGCAAGCAGGGCTCAATAACTCCAAAGCATTCGTTACCAGTCAGCAACTTATAACGTCACTTTAAAGATACAGGCTTTCCAGTATTTTGCTGCGTGGAAACATGTTTCAACCCCATGCAGAAGCTTCTGCCTTTTTTTTCCTTCTGTGGATTGATACTTTACCTGTTTATAATAAGGGACAGAGGCCACTTAACAATGTAGTCAAAGGAAAATGCTTCCAGACCGCTGAGAGTGAGCTCTGTGGGATCTGCACTGATAATGGCCTTCTCCTGCTTCGTTTCTATGGCCAATACTCTCAAGAGCTGTGTAATGAGGTCATGGGGCATCAAGTCAATCTATAAAGGAAGAGCAGGAAAACAATGAAGCCACAGGATACTCACAACTACTGCATAGCAACAGACGAGTGGCAGAAGTGCAAATTATCGGTCGCTCTCAAGTCATCAGACCAACCTAGGAAGCAATAGTGAATGGTATATGGACAACGCAGCAGCAGACAGAGGAGCAGTGTCGTCATAGTGTTCAACAATCAGCATACAACAGAATACTCTGCTCTCCATTGCCCTTGGCCTCTGTAAGGTCTATTCAGATCTCACGCTCCCCAGGCACAGCCTCTGGGCTGCTTCACATCTGTAAAATATGCCATCATTAATAGGCAGGACTTCTAAACAGGTATTTTTTGTTACTCCAAAGTGAGCACCCAAACTGAGAATAAGCATGAGACACACACTACTGCTTCCACCTCATGTCACCTTCTCCATGTTCAGGGGCCAGAAAGAAAACGCAGCCCCTTGTCCAGGGTGGGTGCTCCCAGGAGCTACTCTGGATGAAAGAGGACTTAGCCCAGAGAAGGTCTACAGAAGGACAGCCATCATTTCTCTTTCCTTTCACTGTACATTCAGCAGGTTCTTACAGGCACAGCCATCTTCCCAAGCCATGGCAGGCCTTCTGCTCAAATTCAATTATCTTCTACTTAGATACATTCTTACCTTTAAATCATCCTTGAAAGGATCTGTGTTGGCTGTGCTCATTCGCAGGGCTAATTCAAGCAGAGCCTCTAGCCTCGTAGTTATGATGTCATCCACAGGCTTCTTAAGTTCCTCTTCTGTGAGATCCATGAAGTGAACAAAAAAGTCCCCTTGATCCATCAGAAAATAGTGTTTTATAGACCTGCTCAAGAAAATGAAGGGACAATTGATTATGTTTTTTAAAGCCAAAGTTAATCCATATTAAACCTAAAGGAACAAAAGCAAGCAATTCAGCCAGCCTGCTGGGTTTGATCACAACATGTTCCTCTTCATACAAAACACGCAGCCATAAATAACCCATTCGGAAACTAGACTTTTATGCATGTCCCTTCCTCCCTACCACCTCAGTCAGGATGCTTTTGTGCAGTCAGATCAGGGCTGCTGCTGTTCCTCTTTCCC